CTTACGTGTTATGGTTATGGGTAGGCAACCAGAAGGAAGCAACTATAAATATGATAAAAAAGGATAAAAGTGGCAATAAACTCTTCATAGGGTAATGATTTCTGTTAATGGTTGGGTTAATAATAAGGTAACTAATTTTTTTTAGTAGCCTTGCCTGACAATGTTTAAATGCATTTGTCTCTGAATAGGATGAGAGAAGGGCATTCCTACACAAGCTACTGAAAATAGGAAGGTGAACATGAAGAATGAAAACAAATTACACAACATATCTGAGAATAAGACAAGTTGGAGAGAGAGTCACTCATCCTAAAGGACAGCGTGGGCTTATTAATCCAGGATTTTAGTGATTTGCTCTTGTCCCCATTGAGTGCCTGCGGATAATGCAAGCTTTTATGTTCTCAAGAGTTCCAGACCTACCTGCAGGGAATAGGAATGTTTTATCGCAGAGGTTGAGTTTTTGTGGCCAAGATCACCATTAATAATGGCCAAAATACTGAAAACTTAGGCAGGTTGAACCTTCAAGGAGAATGATGATCTTTTTTTTACAGTGAATCCAGCATGGATTTTAAAGGTGCATGGCTCTTATCTCGGTGTGAATATAAAAACATAGGATGGATATTCAGGGTTGTATAAATTCAAGTTGATGCTAGTAGGGATATTATCCTCTACTGAATAGGTTTAAAAAAAAATGCACCAAACAAGATTAAGTCTACAAAATCATTAGCATGACCCTTCCAGTGACGTTATTCCCAGTTCTGTCTGCTAACTTGATATGGGATAAAAGGTAAATTGGATATTTCAGTACAACAAACTAAGATGCTTCAATTTCTTTTGACAACATACTATCTGAGCAGATCCATTTTTAGAAGAACAACTAAATAAAAAGCCTAGATGGAAGCTTTCTAGGTCAGGAACTGCTAGACCTCCATTATTTTAAACAGCTTGAAGCACTGCAATATTCAGCCAGTGTGCGTGTGCGCTGTTTCAGAAAATTTTACAACAGGGGTTTCTAAAGTTCCAAGGCTGTGCTTTAGCCATAAAAAATACTGCCTTGTGTATAAGGTGCAGGAACTGAGGGATTTTTATTTTCCCAAAGGTAATTTCAGTTGCATTTTTAAAGCACAAACACACAATGAGAACTATATTTAGTTATCTGTTGACTAATGGCTCTCATTGCTCTTAGTGAAGTAGATAATAACTTTGTATAGAATACCAAATTCAATAGAAACACACCACAGAAACGGAAGAACTCTGTTATAGACTTATTACATTCAAAGGAAACAACTGACAAATTGAAAGCTTTTTTAAAGAAAATACCACCAGCTGCCTGCTATGTTGTTGTTGTTGTTTTTTCTCATTTGTTCTTTTGAAAAAATATTAAGAAATTTCAAGCAATGACTTTTGATTGTTGAAGCACGGAAACACTGGAACTACAATGCTGTGTAAAGGTCTGTAATAAATTCACATATTGCTACTAAAAATTTATCTTAGGTATTAATCTAACTTGCACTCCAGATGCCATCTCAAAAAAATAAAATAAAATAAAATAAACTTCCGAAAGAGCACATGGATCAAATTTTAGCCAGCAGAGAGAAAATGGCTGACTTGGCATTGAGTATGTGTGATCACAGTGTGACAGACAGCCAAGTCATCAGTTTCCTTTTTCTGCCAGGCAGTGGCAGTTCTGATTCTCCTGAAGAGTGCCTTTATTGCATGTAATGCCTGGGTATTTTAACCCCAATGAGTACCATGAGTGCCCATAATCTGAAAATTTATTGCTCAGTGTCTAAACTGCAGCAATCTTACTCATGAAAAATGGATGACATGACTGAGATTATGTAGAATACTACGGAATTACTTACTGGACCCTACCTGAGCTAAATAAACAAAAAGCAACCAATCAGAACACATCGTGCACACTCTTCTTCCACTGGTGAAGACAGGATGAGAAAACAATGGTTAATATGCACAAATCTCAGATATTATGGGAAAGACAAAGGATAAAAACTGGGTAGAGTCTTCATAAGCATCTTAAAATTAGCTTTTTGGGTTTTTTTTTGGTCTCTCCATAAATTTTCGTACCTTATGGTTTTCACTTCTGTGGTGCATATGATTTGAAACGGGACACCTTAATTTTTTTTTATGTCTATGTGCAAATTCTTGCAGTTATTACTGTTCCTACATTTCAGTCCAGAGCATTACATAGATATGCATGCTGTATACTCTTCTTTATACCAAATATGTTCCTATGAGTAAATATTGTTTGGATTTAGCAAATAATATCTAAAAAATGAAACAGGGATCATAGGACAATACAGTACAGCAACTATATGCCTCAACTGGGCTATAAAGACGTTAGAGTAAAAAATGCCAACAGTGAAGTTTCTTTTCCTACTCCATCATGTCACTGAGTCTGTGCTCTCTGCAGGAGACGTCTGCACTCCCATCCTTCAGCACTCAGAGCTTTCTGTTGGAGACCTGCTGGAGACCTTGAACCAGAAAATAGGAACACAAAGCTCTTGGTAAAGAGCTGTCTGTGCTCATGTCTCCCTCAAGTGCCTAATCCACATCAAAGAATAACCTATCAGGTAAGTGTTACTGGAACAGGATATCCAGTAAAATCGATATCAGAAAGATGCACTGTCCTTGGAGATGCTGAAAAGCCATCTGGACATAGTCCTGAGCAACTGGCTCTCGAAGGTCCTGCTTCAGCAAGAGAAACAGACCAGGTGACCTCCACAGGTTCTTTCCAAACTCAGCCATTCAGTGGTTTTATGAAAACAGAACAAAACCAAAAACCAACCAACAAAAAACAACTGAAGTTTTAACACTGAGATGCTATCCTACTGCACAACATGCAATGGCAGACAGTTCTACTGTCTTTAAAATCTCCTTTGATAAGTCCTCTTTCCTATTTGTACTGTTGATAGTCTAGTTTCTTTTCTTCTGTCTTTTGTTGGTTTCTGTAGAGCAGTGATAGCTCAGAGTTGCTGGTGTGGTCAGGTCACAGAAGGTCTGAAGTACTGCTGCTTTGAAAAGCCAGTCTGTGTATGGCTGTAGAAACACACATTCTCCTTGTTCTCCTTTTTAGATCATTAGAAAGAGGCATTGCTTTGCAAAGTGGGAGAGTTATTTATCGGAAACTTGTGAAGCCTTTAAAACATTTTCATTTGACAGGAATAATTAGAGGCACTATAGAGAACCTGCATCGCTGGTAATAATCCTTATGACTATGATACTCATTAGGCTGATTAAACTAGCTTAGCATGATGTTATTTCACTGGCACCAGGTAAAGTAGCTGCCCTTTCTGGAGATTATATGCTAAAACTTTGAGCTGATCTGAATTGTAGAAGATTTGCTAGCAGCAGATTAAAAACCCAAATTAAAAATAAGAAAAAAAGTATTTTTAGTGGCTACTAAAGAAAACAAAAACTGCTTCTCTGGGACTGGGATGAATAGTGAAACTGAGCATGTTCCAGAGAAACTGTTAAAGGATTTTACAAGCTATTGCCCATGTTACAGAGTATGCAGCAAGCTATCTTTGTCACACAGACTCACACCTGACCTCCTCCCAAGTAGAGACAGAAGTTTTAGGTCAGTTAGGAGAGCTTTGAAGTCAAACAACAGTGACTGTGCGAGCAGAACTTATGTTCCTTTGACTCCGGACCGAAGTCATCCTTCTTTCGCAGCTCTCCATCTGGGGAGGCTGTACTTGAGCATTCGCAGAGCACAGCGTGATCTGATTCAGCAGATGTGCTGAGACGTGAGCTCTCCCCACAGCTGTTTCAAGCTTTTAAAAGAAATATGAAAATATAAGATACACCTTTTCTACTCTTCCTTTTTTTTTTTTTTTTTTTTTTCAAACAGGTGAATGCTGGTACACAGAATCAGTTACTGCAGGAAGAACACAAGTGCACAAGTGTCAAATCCTGATGAGCGTATTTTTGTTTGTTTTATAGAGAAGGGGGGAAAAAAAGCTGTTTATGACCGTGCCCTAGGAAAGGTGGGGGAACTAATTACTTGAACTGGCGAAGGCATACATACTGCGGTAGCCATTGACTTGCTGCTCCCTGAAGCTAGCTGGACGTTTCTCATTTGCTCTGCGGGGTATTGGATCAGAGCCCTTTGGCTACCAGAAGGAACTGACACAACTTGCAACCAGGGAGCATCTGTCTGCTTGGGCACTTCAAATGTCTTATTAAGATCCTCCGTACAGCTAATTGGGAATGCCATCGGTATTGTGAGAAACGCAGTGCTTTAAGATTTTAGGATAATAGAAAAAAGAAGGAAAAGTGTTGGCCATCGTCCCCACACCCTTTCTACCAGCTCCGTGAGCGGCTCCTCCGGTGCCGCTGGACACTCCGCCCGTGGAACTTCCCCTCAGGGCAGCCGGGCCGCCTCGCGGCTCGCCCACGACCCGCCAACTTTTCGCCTCGGGGCTGACCTACAGGGCTGACTGGCGGAGCGCGAGCGAGCAGAGCCGCCCCCGCCTCCCTCCCGCCCGCTCGCTCGCTCGCTCGCTCTCCTCCCCTTCCCCCTCTCCCGCCTTTTCAGCGCGGATCCCGGGCGCCAGCGGCCGCGCTGGCAAGAGTCCCCGGCCGGCGGCTCGGGGCGCGGCGCTGTGGCGAGGGCGGCAGCTCGGAGCCGCGGCTGTTCCCGTAACCAAGGCGCTGTCAGGCGCGCACACACAGACACACGCGCAGCGCGAAGCAGAGCAGACTCGGGGCCGCCTTTGCAGCTCTTTCCCTCCCGCACCATGCTGTGCTCCAGGCAGCGCCTGCACGCCGCTCCCTGAGGGGACGCAGCCCGCCGCCGCTTGGCAGCCGGCTGCCCGCCCCCGCTCCCCGAGTTCGCTCCGTCCCGGGCACTTCGGGCTGCTGCCGCCCCATCGCAACGCCGTCCCCCGCTCCCGGTGTGGCAGCCCTTGGGCGGCGGGGGAGCAGCCGGGAGCAGCCGCCGCCGGCGAAGAGGAGCTCCAGCTCCCACCTTCGGAGCGCTTCATGGCGTCTCACCAGCAAACCAGGATCCAAGCCTACCTGGAGAAAAATAAGATCGGTCCTCTCTTCGAGGTAAGGCGCGCTCCTCCGCTCAGCGAGCGGCTCTTCTGGGGGGCCGTGGCCGCTGAGCGCCGGCAGGAGTCAGGTGTCCGGCCGGGAGGGAGCGGGGCTCGGGGCACCCGCTGCCCGCCGCGCACGTGTTCCTCCTCCGCATCCCGGGCCCAGCGCAGCCCCTCGCCTTCGTGTCTGTATGGAGACAGCCCGGAGCTGCGGGGCTGGGTGCCCCGAGAGCCTCGGTGCTTACCCCCCTCGAGGATGGGAGGGAGGGAGACCTGGCGAGAAGGGAGAGCTGGCCGCCTCCTCCCCGGGAAACCCGCCCTCCGTGCTTGGGAGTGCATCTGTCCTGCGAAAAGTCTGTGGCGATGGTGTTCCTGACGTTTTCGTTCGCAGTCCCACAGTCGGGAACATTATTTTTGCTGTAGGTTCTCCTTAGCGTTAAAAAGATGCGCTCGCTTGGATCTGTAGATGTGCAGATGTGTGTGCTGTACTATTTCTGTGCATGAGCTATGGGTGCTTAAAATTTAAAAGGGTACCAGAGCAATCACGACTATTACCATTTATCATCTTGTTTCTCGTGCAGCTTTTACATCTAAATGCACATATGTTACACTCCGTTGGTATTATCCCAAGATGCAAGTCTCCCTTGTTTGGTATTTGGCTTGCGCTCAGTCAAACCTACTACACATGAAATCTCTTCTATGCTGGTTTATCAGTACAGAGAAAACAGTGGGGAAGATAGCCTGTTCCAGTACATGCTTGGGTCACCCTGCGTGAGAGAGGGTCTAGTTTTCTTCAAGAACTGCTATCTCCTGGTTAGGTTTTAGATTTTGCATGGACTGGGGCTGTTAGGACAGATTGCGTTGGTTAGCTGTCAGAAGTGTTAGCTGTGTGCATTAAATAAATTCCTGTTTGATCAAAATGTAAGTGGATATCAGAGAACTGTTGGTGAGTTTTCTAGTTTGAGAATTCACAGAAACTGAGCCATTTGTGCTGTCTAATTTCTGAATAAAGGACATTCCAGTTTAGGCACTTGCTATGTAGGTAACGGACTGGTGCATTGAGTGCCCTGGGGCTGGTGAGAAGTTGGGCCCTTGACAGCTGTAATTTTCTTCTAAATGTTCATAAGTTAACGTTGTTCTACCCATTAAAATTCTAGCTAGTTATTTGACATTGCTCTTCTGTGCTGTAGCCTAGTTTCTCAGTGTAGTGTAAGTTGCTCGTTTCTACTGTTATAACAGTAGGATTTGTCAGTTACCAAGGACAGAGAAAAAATGAAATTATGCTTTCTACAGCATTTCATACATTGTTTGGTGTTTCACTAGTCACTGAACTGTAAGGTATTCATTGTGGCAAGAGGCTGTGGAAAGCTCTTCAAGTCCCTTAAACCATGCAGGCTGTCCACAGGTTGTTACTGTGCTTCTCAGTACCAGGAAGAGATTTATTTTTTAGGTGCAGAATCCACTTAGACCTCAGTAGTAGTGAATGGATTTAAGAAATAAGGCTGAAGCATTCATGCAGCTGTTGAAAGTTATTTTAGTCTGCAACGCTAGGAGGAAAAGGATCATAATTCTTATGTCTTCTGCTTCCCAATGTCAGTTAACAGCTACGTGTATTTATCACTCTGATGTACTTTGTATTCTCAACTTTTTTTTTTTTTTTTTTTTTTTTTTTTTAGGTGTGGTTGATCTTGTGTCTCTTAGTAAGGGAAATACTGATTCTGAAGTTAATAGGATCAAAACCAATGCATGGATTGAAGCTTACGCTCTATGGTAGTGTTTCTATTATATACACATTGCACTGCTCACTGTCAGTTATATTCCCTAACACATCAGTTCTTCATATCCATAAAAGTTCTGGTACATTGAGTGAGAAGACCTGTGTTTCATCTTTCATTCAGAAACAGCCAGCATTTTCTTCTACCACTTTTGACTATGATGTTAATTAATCGCCAGTTGTTATAGATGACAGCCGTCTTTTTTTGAAGAGTATTTATTTCCACATACCATGTTGGATCAGAGTAGACTTGGATTCAGTTTTCTGCCACGTTATTTGCTGAGTAGGTAGTGATTGTAATTGCTCAATACATGCTCCAAGCCAACATTTCAGGGAACATGTAAAACAGCATGGGGTAATTGAGGGCAATCACAGGAAAGAAAAACATGAAGAGAAAATGTGAAGACTTTTTGAAGTGAAAGCAAGGATGGTGATGCAGAAACAGATCATACTGCATACTTGCATAAATGAATGATTAGGGATCAGGAGAACTTAACATCTTACATCTTAGATGGTTATGCAGGCACAGTTAGCTGGTGGCTGAAGGACTGGATGGTCTTCTAGTAATGAGGTATAATTCCCCTGCATTACAGTCAGTGGTGGTAGACGCCACTACTTACTAATCAGTTGTTCTCCAGTAGTTTGCAGCTCTTCTGATAGTGTTTCTTGGCCTGTACTCGTGGCCTTCTGTTACCATTGTTGTGCCTTTTTCTACTTCATTAACCAGTGGTATATGCCTGAGGACATTTGTTCTTTTGGACTTCATCTCTTTTTTTCACCAGTGCTGTATTGTGAATACAGTTTTATTTCACTGAATTGTTGTATGATTTGACACTTAAATTGTCTTTCTGATTGGTGTGAACAAGAATTGTAGAAGAGCAAGTACTGACATGTGATGCAAGAAGAGTGTAGGGCCTCCTTAGCAAGGTAGGAGTAACCTGACAAGTGACAGAGCACTGGCACAGGCTGCCCAGAGAGGCTGTGGAGTCTCCTGCTTCGAAAGCCACCTGGATGAGGGTCCTGGGCCCCCAGCTCTGGGTGTTGCTGCTTGGATCAGATGGATCCCAAGGTCTCTGCTAACCTCAGCCATTCTGTGATTGTGTGAAACTGGAGGAGTTAACGAGCTTGGGCTGACTCAGCAGGCGTCAGTCTCCTGCAGACTACCAGTACCTGATACCAAATAGTACAAGTTCAATCCTCTCAGCTGTGAATGGTAACACATTCACTTTTGACTCCAAGCATTTTTACTAGTTACACTCTTTATTTATGGCTTAAAGGTAGGAAGGAAGGTGGGTGGGAATTGGTGTGTGCATCTTAGACTCTGTCAAAACAACTTCTATAGTTCAGTCCCATCTCCTCATTGAACATCGATCCTCTAATTCAAAATTGTTACTTTGCTGCCATTTCCTGTCGCAGGTGCTGAATGATTTTCCAGGTAAAATTCCCTGTGAACCTATAGGCGAAGTTCTAAATGACCTAGACCACATGTGTGCCTTTAGTACTGACAGTAAGGTCTTAAGCTAACTCCTGCATTCTGTTGAGTGTCATGAGTTGGCTTATCCTGTGGTGGTTTTTCATGTGTGTGTGCATGTTGTTTTTTTTGTCTTTTTAGTCTTTTTTTTTTTTTTTTTTAAACTTTGGAAGTTTAGACATCTTTCTGTAAGAGCAGCTGAGAATACTGTGGTTAGACATAGAGCTTAGATTTGAGGAATGCCCTTTAGAAACGCCTCGTCTGGGATTTTTATGGCAACGCTTAGCATAGCACTACCTTGATTTTTGTTTTTTTTTTTTTTGGGGGGGTTTTTTTTTTTTTTTTTTTTTGCATTTAACTCTTGTAATTTAAAAGGAACTCTAAATCTGAATTATTCCTGTACCAAAGACTTGTTTTTTTTTTTTTTTCTCTCCATCTTTCTAAAATGTGAACAGGAGGTGTGTGCCTAAAATTGGCTGGGACAGAGTATTCAGAATCAGCACCCACTCATTTCTATCTGAGTGAAGTATTGACCCACTTTGCATTTCAGGCATCCGATCCAACATTTTTTTTGTGTGTGTGTGTGTGTGTGTGTGTGTGTGTGTGCTAATAACCTCAATGAATAATCCTGATGCCTGTGAGAATTTGTGTATTTAGACTTCTATGCAACTGCATCTCTTCAGCATCCAGTTGTACTGATGGTTAGTTTCTATGAATTTGAAAGCTAGATCAGCACTCTTCAGAACAGATTGCAATATATCTTCGAGAGAGAGAGATAGATTCAGTGTTGTGGAATTTTCTTATTTATAGAACCACAGCAAAAAAGAATCAAGTAGGTACGCTGTTGTTACGCAAGCAGAAGTCTGTAATTTCTTTGAGTTATAGAAAGCCAAAATAACTCTTCTCAAAATAAAGCTACCTAGGAGTTTCCTCCAGGTACTGTGGGCTTAGAACTTGAATTTTTATTTTAAACAATATAAAGACTGCATCTTAATGCTCCTGTTTGGTGAATAGTCGTATTTACAGTGTGCCTTGTGACTGAATTAGTCAAAGCTGGGAATGAATTTTGGAATTTGGACCACATTCTGCAGCTGTGTTTGCCCTCAGTTCTTAAATACACAAATGCAGAGAGACGACTTAAGATTCCTCACAGTACCAAGTTATTTTTAATGTGCAGTGTGTTTTGGGCTTGCTCAAATTATCTTTTATTTTATTTTGATATTCTGTTTAATTGGTTAGATTCTTTCCCTAGCATGGAACAGTTTGTATTCTAGATATAATGAGTTTATTTGGGGAAGCATTTAGTTTCAGGCAGCTAGATGGAGCCTTTGGAAGTTTTTCAGTATCTCAACACCATGAGCATAATTTGAAGTTCTAGCTGGCTATCTAGTTGTCACTGCTTCAGAGAAGCCAATTTATCAGCTTTTCAAGGGAAGCCAGCAGTGATCTGGAAATGCCACAGTGTTACACATAGTTGGGGTGAAGGATCATAGATGTTTTAATCTTATTTTTTTGTCCCTTACTACAGCAGGATTTTGTGGTAGCCTTGGTGTGCACTGAGGAGAAAGATGGAGGAATGAAAGTCAAGTGGAAAAAATAATGCAGAGATATCCTTTGCTTTTCTGTCTATTCATTATGCATGAAAATGGCTATCTTGGTAAAGTTGTCTTTAAGGCAAAACAAGTGAAATACCCCAATGAAAATGATAGACAGACTCCTTCCTGTTAACGAACAATTCAGTGCATGATGGCTTTAAGCTTTTTGCTTG